AGCAATCTGTGAAATATATCAAATTATGGTTGGTATGGTATGATTCATTACCTCTTGGTTGTTGTCCTTGAATTGTTTCAAAGCTTCCATTTGATGCGTGCGAGTTCGATTTTCGTTTAGGAAAATGCTCTTGATCTCAGCGATATTGTCGGATGGGATTCCAGCAGAGACAGAGTCCGTTCTTATCAGCCCAAGCAAGAAGTTGAGTGCATTGTTCAGCAATAGTTAAGGATTCATTCTGGACGATAGTCATGAATTCGCCTCTGGCTGCTTCGCTCAAGTTTTTGAGGCTAACGGAAAAGGTGGTAGTCTGAAATAATGAACTCGAGCGTCTGGAGTACAACGAAAGGTTACAGTTGAACATTACTAATTAGAAAGACGATGTATAATAAAAACAGAAAATTGAATATTTTTCATATTATTTGAACAATGCTATTCATTCCAATTTCAATTCGAAAAATGACTTCTAGTCTATTGGATCAAGCCTTTATCAACATGGGGAAATTAGTTGCATCATTGAAACTTGTATCAATACCTTCCACTGCAAAAATCTTATATTTTTTAAGAAGCATAATTGATCCTAGAAGAGCATCACTGATGAAAGGACTTTTCACTTATAGTTCAACAAGGAATACACAAAACGCCATGGGTTGAATTCTAGAAACTAGACATTCTAACCTATAAGATGAGTAAATACAGCACGCGACACGACACGACACGCACACGCGTCAGGCTATAGCGGAAGGAAGGGACGCTGAGGAAGGCGGTCTTGACGTTTAGCAAACGGTTTTAAATTATGCTTAACTGGATACTAATTGTCAAAATTGCAACACTCTCCAACATTCTTATAGTTTTTCTTCAATCAACGTTAATTTTCGTCCTCGTACACATTACATTAAGATAAACTAATGCAGTTATTACTTTCGCTCACTGACCACGAGGATATCGAGCATAAAAAAGTCGAAATAGAACTCGATGAGGATGTATTAACTTCAAATAATTACTGAGCATTTCATTAATAAAATCACTTTCAGTCCACTCTTCGTCAGTTAAAACAAGAGATCTCTTCAAAATTACATATCGATCCAGTAAATCAAAATATATTCTTCCATGACGGACGTGAGATATGTGGAATTGATTTTGACAGCACGCTACAGCAAATTGGATTTAGGCATTTGGACAAACTGATAGTAGTTAGTTAGTTTGATTTCTTCAAAGCTCGGTCATTTTTTCAGAAGCATTCGGATGTCTCGTGGTGGCCTGAGTACAAAGAGTATGTAGAGATAGCAATGAAGGGAGGCCCTCGAAGAATGCAGACTTGCAAAGAGGCAGTCCGACTGCATGCAGATTTGATGGACAATGGTTTTTTTTATGCATACAGTAGATTTAATACTTATCGCATGGAAAACCATTACAAAGTGGCCTCTTGGACAGATGACGACACGAAACTGATGAGAGAAGCCACTCTCAGTCATTTTCGTGCAATTCATTTCAAACGGGGAGCCAATGATGAGCTGGACTTCGTTTGTAGGTTTGAACCTCGACCAGGAGAACTGGGAGGTTCAAGAAAGAATACACTCGCTTATGTCCGACTGCATGGAGAGCAGGATGAGACTAAGTACAACGTGAAGTGAAAATATTAAGAGATTTACTAGACATAATGATCGCTTTTAGGTGCCACCACTTTGGGTCATCAAGCAGCTCTGCGAAAGGCCAATCGCCGGATATTAAAGAGTTCTACTGCTACAAACTGCTGGAACTGCTTAATGTGGGACCCCAGGTGCATTTCATCCTCCCCAACATACTGACCGGCAGCAGAACTTCCATGTAATAATATTTATTTTTTTCCCCATTCAAAAAATGCAAATTCAGGTATATCGCTACACGATGGTGTGACGATTTCGTGCCTATTACCAGCATCAAGAAAGAAGACGTTAGCGTGGAAAGTCTTGCGCAGATTCTTTTGCTTGGGACATTTCTATTTATGGACGACTTACACTCGGACAATTGTGGTCAGTTTTTATGACTAAAAATTGAACTGGTTTAAAAACAAAAATTTATTCCCTACAGGTCAATGGAAAGGCACCAAAAATGCAGCAATTGTAGACTTTATGCCGAGAGCTTACACTACGTTCACAAATGTCAAAAAAGTATGAATTTCAAATTTTTACCATGTTTCACTTTTTATTTCCAGGCTCTGCTCAACAACGATGCATCGGTGTACTGGGATGAATTTCATATAGACGCATTAGAGAAATGCAACGAAGAATCGCGATTAGAGATGGCTAGAGCGTCCCTTATGAAATGGGATCTGCTGTCTAAGATCGACTTAGCCAATGAGCTAATCACTCCTGAGAAAGATCGAATGAAGCGACAAGACATCGGCTTCAAAGGCTTTAACAGTCCTACTGAGGAGCTTGATTTGTACATAACCGCAGTAAAACAGAACATAACAAATTTAATTGATATGCTGAATGTTGCCGAGCAGTTATGGATAAATTGACATGAAACCGATATCTCAACAGAAAATTAATCAAACATGGATAAAAATGATTAAAGATAAGCTCTTTTAATTTTCGAATTCGTCGGAAATGAGGCAATCAAAGGTAAATGTTTGTTCAGCCGTCAATGGAAAT